CAGGGGACCCTGCCGGTCTCGCCTCAACCCCAGAGCAAGTTCGGCATGGCCAGGGATAAGCACCGGCTCAAGAGTGCGTGCACCGAATCCAGGCAGGACATGGCAAGGTACACCTTTTCCGTGAGAAACTCTAGGTTCAAAGACTGCTGCCTTCTCAACCTGGTCTACAAGGAGTCCCCGTGGGGGGAGTGGGCCTGCAGCTCCGCAGGGCCCCCCATCAAGAAACCAGAGGCACATCCTGCGATGATGCTGCTGGAGCAGCGGGAAGCAGCGGGAGCGCCCAGCGGGCTGGGCAGAACCACTGATGGGGATGGGGACGGGAGGGGGGCACGCCGAGCAGGCACTGGGAGCCAAACGTGCCCCTCTGGGTTTAAACAGTCCTTTGCATAAAAGGGTAAATTAAACATGCTTTTCTTTGCAATAAAAGCCTCCATGGTGACTCAGCCTGTGCAGGTGCGAAGGGAGCCCACTCTTTGTCCCCTTGTAGGGCTGCAATAAAAAAGCTGGTTCATAGCAAACCCTCTGGGGTGCAGGGTCAGGTTCTCCTCCTCCGCGGGGGCTCGCTGCCACCACCCGAGCCAGCCCGCACCACCCGCCAAGCACACACCAGCGCACAGGCCGACTTCAAACGCAGCTCATGCAAAGGCAACCAATTCTGCTCAAGCATATGCAGAGAAGAGGGGAAAACCACCCTCCCCGAGCAGGCCGGCATGGTAAGCGATACAGCAATCGGATACGGAGCCCTTCCCGCCCTGTCGGCAGGGACAGAAAGCGGAGCTCCCCGTCCTGCCCTTCCCTTACACCCCTGTGAACAGCTGTGAACAGCACGGCATGTAAAATCCCACGAGTAGATCTTGCCCTGGTGCTGGGGAGAAGGCGAGTGGTTTGGAGTAGCCTGGAGCCAGGCCAGACTGTTCCCAGAACCCAACAGTCCCACTCCAGCCTCCACGAGAGACCAAACGAGGCAGGCGGAGACGTGGCTTTACTCAAACCCTCCTCCCACTTTATTTCAAACATCATAAAATATACGCACAGAAAAAAGGATGAATGGGAAGGGAAAACGTTAGGGGGGGAGGAGAAACCTCTCCCAAAACACAGCATCAGCTCAGACAGCAATGGGAAGCGGCTGTCACGGAGCATCGCCTCGGTCCAGGCGGACGGCATCTCCACCACGCGCCTGCCAGGCCTGCGAGAAGGAAGGGGAGGAGAGTGAGCCCCGGCATGGAGAGGAAAAGTAGGGCAGAGCCCCATCCTGAGCAGCTTTCCAATTTACTGAAGGCACAGGCCGAGGCTGGGTTAAGGACATCACCTGTCAGGGTGCCCCCGTGGACTTCTGGATTTGCTCCTTCAGAATAAGGATGCTCTGCCGTTGCTCCGGGGGCAGCATGGCGATCTGGTCTGCTGTCAGCTGCAGAACCTGCATGATCAGGGCTGCCTGTGGGGAGAGGGGGGAATCAGAGACGTGCCCTGCCAGAGCAGTCACGGGTTACCAGAGCCAGGAAGGGGCTGTTCCCGCCTCAGTAAGGCATGGAGGAAATGCTGCTCCTGGTGTCTCACCCTTTCCCTTTTGTCCTCTCACCTTCTCGTGATCCTGGGGGGTGACCTGGCTCTGCCCAGGGCTAAAGCCTCCGGGCTGACCAGCTCCTTGGACTCCTGCCCCAGGAATGACTCCTACCTGCATGCCTGCCCCTGCCATGTTAGGAACCTGCGGGCACGAGAGAGGGGGTAAGGACCAAGAGGTCTCTGCACTCAGCCATACAGACACAGGAACGTAAAGCAGATGATCAGATGGATGCCCCCACAGCCAGCCTGAACACGCCCAAGCATGAAGAAAGACAGGCTACCATGCGTTTTACATGCTCTCCTCTCCCACCAACTCCTGCACTCCTTCCTGCGCATCAGGAAGAGGTGGAGAGAGGCCCGAGCCTCGTCTCGTCCCCAGCAGCCAGCCAGTGCCCGGGGAGGTGGCGCATCGGAAGGAGGTGGGGAGAGGCCCGACCCTCCTCTCGTCCCCAGCAGACAGCCAGTGCCTGGGGAGATGGGACAGATGCCCCAAACCCCTCAGAGAGCCGCTGACCCAGGCCTTGTGCTTCCTGGAGGTGCCGCTCTGCAGGACGTCCTCCCCTCTCTAGCTGCTGCAGGACGTGATCACACCCCCCACCCAGACCCAACCTACAAGACCCCGTCGGTGCCCAACCAGCCGAGCAAAGACATTGTATGTACCTGGCGGGGCCCCTGCGGGCCACTGGCTCCCATGTTAAGTGGCCCAGGGCCCTGTATCCCACCAGGCATGGGGCCACGTGGGTTGGGACCTGGCCCTCGAGGCTCCAGGCCCCGGGGCTCCATGACCCTGGCCTCCATGGCCCTGGCTTCCCGCACTCGTGGCTCCCGGACCCGCGGCCC